CACTCTCCACTTGATCATCTACTCGTGCTATCTCCTTGGCTTGATCTCTCTTGCTAGCCTTCTTCTTGCTTTTCTTGGCCATGAGACACAAGTGATGAGTATCAAGAGATACTGAGGTTGACTCATCACTTGGTCGTCACCGGGCTTGAGCCTCATCATCACAGACAGCTTGCTGTCCTGCTGCCACATCCATACAGAACACGTCCGGTATGTGCAGGTAGACAACATATCATGTGTTGCTTGGACTTCTTGCTCTGGCTCGGCACTCTTGAGGTCTTGTGAGGCTTCTTCACTGCATAAAGACACAATGAACATACTTTCCATTGACTCGACCTCAAGTGCATCATCGCATTTGGATTCTCCATATAACTCAACGAGTTTGGTCCAAATGAGATGAGCACTCTCTGGAGGTGGTTGTCCATTGAATATTGCCTCATCTTGAACCTCTGCACTCAATGTACTCAAAATGATATTAATAGCTTGAGCATTGAGTTGCACGCATATCTCTTCCTCTTTTGATAAATTTTTATAGTTGCTCCAATCAACTATAGGAAGAGGTATGCTTGCAAACACAATATGCTCAACAATAGGACTAATATGTCTAAAAGCATTGAGTACATGAATTGACCAAGGTAGAAAGTTTGAACCATCATTTTGGAGAAGCACTTGGCTCCAACTCGATAGGGCGTCGACATCCTTTTCTCACGGCGGTGAAGCTTTAGGTGAGAACCTTGCTCGATACCAATTGAAAGGACCTAGGATGTCGCCTAGAGGGGGGGGTGAATAGGCGTTTGAAAATTAACACCTTTAAATGCGGAAACAATTAGAAAGGAAGTTTCCAAAATGGAAACTCCAAATTAAGAGTACTACCACCCCTCACAAGTTAGCCACAGAGTAAACAAGGTATAAAGAATATATCTAGAAGCTACAACCCTGCAACACCAAGTTAGAACAGAGAATAAATATTTTGAAGCTAGTGAGAAAATATCTGGGACGTGTCCCAGGTATACACGATTCTGCAGATCGGCCCCGAACTTGCTCCTTTCGATTTCTATCTTCAAACCAAAGCTGTAGGCACCTAATGGAGAAGACAATATACACAGAGAACCTGCAGAATAGCTAGAGCAACACAAATATCAAATGAAATGCGAATTGAGACACGATATTTGTTTTACGAAGTTTGGACTCGTTCGAGTCCCTCTCTCAGTTAAAGGGGCTGCAGGCGACCAATGAAGGTCAGCCCTAGAGAGTACCACGAAGGTCACTCTAGCCAGAGTCTTTCCAACTCCTTTTCCTCCTTCCACTAAATGATTAGAGAGACGGCGGAATCGGAATGCTACTAAACTTTTCGAAGCAACCACAATCTCTCGGTTGCTCTCCGGCGACGCCTAGCCGTCTAGGACCGAAGAGTCCAAGAGTAACAAATGCGAATCACGAGATTGACAATATGCACAACTTGCTCTCTTTTTCAAATTCTCTCTTAACCCACAAATTGATTTTGCAATTTGGATCACACACTCACTAAGAGAGGGTTTAGGAGAGTTGGCAAGGCTCAAAAACGTGTGTCTATCTCAGTAAAATCAGCAGCCTCCAAAGGTGGAGGCTTAGGGGTATTTATAGCCCCCTTAAAAAACTAGCCGTTTTATAGCCGTTGCAATACCGGACACGTCCGGTATGACTTACACTGCCCCAACGGTAACTAAGTTACAGTGAAGTTGTGAGGCGCTGGAACTCCCGATGAATGCCGAAACTCCCGACCGCCGGAACTCCCGACTCACGTCGGAACTCCCGATCCTCAGCAAATTGAAAACCATGTAACTGAGTTAAAGAATATGAGGTGCCGGAACTCCCGACACATGTCGAAACTTCCGACCGTCGGAACTCCCGACTTACATCGGAACTCCCAACCCTCAAGGCTTTGGAAAACCAGCCGTTGGCCTCTGGTCGTCCATACCGGACATGTCCGGTATGAATACCGGACACGTCCGATATGACCTGGACAGTGAACCCTCCAAGACATTTAAAGTGCGAGACGTCAGAACTCCCGACCCTTGTCGGAACTCCCGACCGTCGGAACTCCCGACGAACCAACCCGAGAATAACATTTTTACAGTTACTGGGCAAATACCGGACATGTCCGGTATTGCCAGACCAGCAAAAATAAAGTTAGCTCTTTTGTCGCTCAAATACTCAAAACTCACTTGGGTTGGCTTGAGCACTTATGAAACATTATCTATCAACATGATGCAACCCTCTTAATAGTACGACATGCCTATTTACTCAAATTTAAAAGTATAACAGATTTAAATCTTTTGAATTGCTCTTGTTTTTGAACCGAAGCCGTGTATTCCAATCTTCATCAAGTGAGGGTGCCAACATGTTGATATTGATCTTTTTCACTTGAGCATAGCCATCTTGAGCACGTGACTTGATTCCATTCATCAAATTTGAATAATCACAAATGTATCAAGTCACTTCTATCAAACACTCCAATAGTGATTTGATCATTCACATCAATATGACCATCGTAACTTGATTAGTACCTCAACTAAATGCAAGTACTTTCTTCTTCACCCTAGCTAGGTTCTTCGGCCGCCAAGCCGTCGCTTGCCCTTCACCCTTGCTTAGTACCTCGAAGCCTTTTCTTGCTATCTTCACCATCTCAAGCCATCAAGTCAAATCTTGTGTTGAATCATCCATTCATTTGTATTGTTGTCTTTTTCATTTCAATTTAGCAAGCTTCAAATATGAGACCATTCCATATACAATCCCTCATGTCTCATTAATTAATACTTAAGAGCTTGCTTTCACATAGCACATAGAAATCCCACAACAAATAAGCCTTTGTATGAATTCCATTTGCATTGTTGTCTTGTGCTTGAACTAGATTATTTATACAACAACATATCATTTTGGCTTTCATTAAGTACCTGTGAGATAACTTATTACCTGTCCACACTTAACAAACGGGTTAGACCTTTAATCATGTTGTCATTCAATCATCCAAAATCCACTAAAGGGCTAGATGCACTTTCAATTGGGGCTGCAATTCCACGTTTCGTGAACTTTCAAATGGCGCTAGGAATTGGCCCTGGGGAGCTTGCCCCGCGTTTTCCTGGCCCAGGGAAACTATCGAAAACCCGGGGCGATATTGTGCTCCCAAATAGCCCTTATCAGTCTGGGCCTGTTTAAAAAAAAGGCTGGGCCTAATCAATCTCCAGTGAAAAAGTCCATGTTACCTCTCTTAACTTTCGTAAAAGTCCGCTTTTCCTCCCTGAATTCCAAAACCGGACAAAACAACTTCTTCAACTTTTAAAACCGTTCATCTTACCTTCTTGGCCCTGTTATAAGTAGTTTTAAAGGCGGTTTTATATATATTTTTTATTTATTTCGGCTAAATCTTTGAAAAATTATAGTAAATCACAGAAAAATCTAAAATAGAAAGTCTAATTTTGTTGGTCTCCACGTGAGTAGAGCTACGCAGTGAACATATAATATGGTATGCTTTAGTACAAAGTTTTGTTGTGGCTTTAGATATATGCTTTTCTGTAATTAAATAGAATAATTCATAGCTATAGTTTCTATATTTCAATTGTGGTGAAATTTTTATGGTGGGATAATTATTGTATATTTAAACTGTAGTAAAAATTTCACACTCACTGGATCATGTATAACTTAACTATAGATTTTATTTAGGTTTATGCTTATTAAATATAAATAAATCTATAACTAAGCTATACTTGATTCAATGAGTATGAAATTTTTACTACAGCTCAATCTTATAATAATTAGCACACCATAAAAAATTCATCACAATTGAACCATAGATACTGCAGCTATGAATTATTCTAGTTAATTACAGAAAAGCATAGATCTAAAGCTACAGCAAAAACTTTGTACTAAAGCATACCATATTATATGTTCACCGTGTAAATCTACTCATATGAAGTCTAACAAAATTAGATTTTCTATTTTATAATTTTTCTATGATTTACTATGATTTTTCAAAGATTCGGCCAAAATAAAAAAAAGACAAAACCGACTTCAAAACTACTTATAATAGGACCAGGGAGTAAGATGAACAATTTTAGAAGTTAGGAGAGGTGTTTTGCCGGTTTTAAAGTTTAGAAAAAATAGACTTTCGCAAAAGTTAGAGGTAATAAGGACTTTTTTCCATCTCCAGTAGAAGTAGCACACCGCTTGGGCCATATGGCTGGCATTGCAGCCCACACATGACTCGAGCCAGAGCGTATTGTTGTTCATCCGTCAAAACTTTACACCCAATTACATCGAATGTTTGACACATGCATAGAGTATTAAATATAGACTAGAAAAATAACTAATTGCATAGATTACGACTACTTTGCGAGACGAATCTTTTAAACCTAATTAGTCTATGATTTGACAATAAGGTGCTACAGTAACACATGTGCTAATGACAGATTAATTAGCCTTAATAAATTTGTCTCGCGATTTACTGACAGATTCTGTAATTTATTTTTTTATTAGTAACCGAATACTCTGTGCGACACTTTATATAATATCTGATATGACACCCCAAAACTTTACGTCCTACATCTAAACACTACCTAAGAGGATTTAGACGGTCTTCACCATGGAACCTATATAGACATCCAAACCTAAAATGGATAGTAAGAGATCCAAAATCAGTCTCCAATAGAGTATTTATACAATAGATCTAGTTTAGGTTGTCAGAGAGACCCAACTTAAATATGGATATTCTCTCTCATAGAAACTCATTTGCAGAAATGATTCTTTTTAAGTCTTATTGTCAGAAAAGATGTCGAATATGTATTGAATCTTTTACATATAGTGCTATCTAGAGAATGAATGGGCGTTGTATTTTGGGTGTTTTCTTTGGAGAGAGCCTTAACCGGATAAATTTGGGCGCGCGGGCGAAGGGGGGAGAAACCGCGGAACCACCCCAAGTCGGAAAACCCCAAGGGCCCGAAGCTTCCCGCGCACCACCGCCGCCGCCGATGCCGGTGCCGAAGCCGATGGAGAGGAAGCAAGCCGCCTACAGCAACCTCGTAAGGATCCGCTTCTTCCACCCTCGTGGTCTCCTCCATTCCCTTGTCGATCACCTCGGGTCTCAGCTGAGCGGTCGCATTGGGGGCTGCAGGATGAGAGGTACGCGATCCAGGGGGAGAAGTACCAGGGGCAGCAGTACAGCCACATCTACTTCACGCGCCTCCACCACATGCGGAATCTCCTCCACGCTCTCGTCCCCTCCTTGAAGCCGCTACTCCCAGGTCGGGCCCAATTCCGCTCTCCTCCCCTCTCGCGGTTCGAGTGTGATAAACACCAACATTGTATATAGCCAATATAGGGTAGTTTAAGTAGGGCTTCTGTGCTGATCTCTGGCTCGCTGGTCCCGCGAGGTTTTGGTCTTAAGTCAGTTTCTGGAGGCATTGGGTTGGCAATTGGTTCATAACTGGAGTTGGTGTGCAAAAACTAAGGCACTGTTAGCCCGGATTAGGGTTTTAGGAGAAGCCTGGCGTTTTAAATAGGGGCTTGAGCTGCTCTGCCAGGTGAATTGGCCTATATTTCGTTATAAAGAATTTTGTGACATAGCTTATATATGTGATTGTTAGCTGAGGTCTTTATTGGTACACTGGCGTAGCTTCCGTGATAAATGATTGCTGCTTTACACTGCTTTCTTTTTTGCTTTGTCACATAGATGCTTTGCCCTTGAGCTGGTAAATTTAACAATTAAAGATTTCACTAACATTAGTTGGTGAGCATGAACAGAAATCTTAAAAAGAAAGGTGCCTCCTTGCTGGCAAGATTTAATTTTGTATCCTATTTACTATTCCAATTTCTCCAATTTAGTAGCTAAGTTTTTATATTGGCTCGCCAAGCCACGAATCCTATTTACTACTACAATCACAAATAAGTTTGTCTTAGGCATGAATGGTCTTCAAGCACAACTTTGACAATTATTTTGAATAGAAATCGATACATATGACTTACATGTTTCCAAACTAAATAATGTAATAGTTATTTATGCCTGTAGTTTTTAAGGTTTGACCAAATCTTGTCCTGAACAAGTTTTTGTGATCGGAGAGAGTATAAATTATAGCAAAAGTTTATTTTTATGAAACTATATTCAGGAACAAAAATACTCATACCGCTTTCCGATATCTGTACCTAATATTAAAGGAAAGGTGGATTCTTCCATCCGTCCTATTTTACTTCATACAAGCATATTCATATTTGTTAGTCTTAATAAAAGGTAATATGCAACCAAAGTTTGAAATGGTTGGCCTAAAAAACTCCAAATGGTCACTTATTTGTGACTGTAGGGAGTAGGACTGCTATTGTGTACCTTGGAAAGATGTTTTGGTGGTACAGTTATATTTTCCCATGGAAGTGGTTCATAAGACAGGTTTTTGCTTATGCATGGAGAGAGTTCAAGCACACTTTTTTTCCTACATTGCAGTCACTACAGTGTTAGGACTCGAAGAAGGAAAGGATTGCATAATTGTTGGAACTTTATATAAGCACATGAAGTTGAAGCCTTCCATTCTTGATGAATATGCCAAAGAGGTAAAATGACCTGAAAGTTAGTTTTATGTGCCTACAAGTATAGTGGTTGTCCCTGATAACAAGTGAAGTATCTGCATCAACCTTTCCCCCTTTTTTGCCAGAGGTCTGCAATTCCTCTTGTCAAACTGCATAATTTCATGCATCCTGATGATCATCTCATTCTGGAAGATGAAAGTGGAAGGGTTACACTTGCAGGAGCCATACCTCCAGCAGCATTTGTGACTGGTAAGTCTGTCACTTCCACAAACTAAAAATAATGCAATCAGACTTCTTTCTCTATTGATGTATAATTTCTGTTTTTACTCAATAGACAATCTTGATGCCTCTGCCCCCATAATTTTCCCCCCTGAAAATCATGCTCAATCATCAATCATTTTCAGGGGTTGTAGTGGCTCTCCATGGGAAGGAAACAAGTGCTGGCAACTTTCTTGTTGAAGATGTTCTTGAGGCTGGTCTTCCTCCCCAAACTGCATTGTCTAGCGCAGGTAATATTCTCCATATTGCCATGTGTTCATATTTCAACATTTTCTCCCAAATTTTTAACGATGATCGAATTGCTCTGAAACTGCATTTACTTTGGTTACAGCAGAAGACAAGTATGTGGTATTTGTATCTGGGCTAAGTGTAGGAAGTGACACATTCAATCCTCTACAATTCCAACTTCTTATTGACCATGTCACAGGGCATCTGGGTGATGAGAATGTATGCTAGTTGTCTTTGTAAAGTGTAAACTATTGTACTAAATATATTCTAATATGGATAATCTTTGTTCGAAATCACTCAGGAGCAATCCATAGCATCAAATATAGTACGGGTTGTGGTTGCTGGGAATTCAGTGCATGTTTCACCAAGGTTTGTCAACGGTCAGGTAATGGCATTCAGTTTCACATGTTTTCTGTGGTACATATCGTGTTGCTTCAGTATGTCATACTAACGATTAGTTTTAATATGTCAGACGGTAGCATCAAAAGATCAATCCAGGATAGCAGAGCCTATCAAGGAATTGGATATAATGCTTACCCAGGTTAAAAATATTGCTTTTTCTTCCATCAAATTTAGTCATCGCAATGGTTCTGCTCTGATATTGACCTTTATGTAATCCATGCTATCTTCAGCTTGTGGCATCGTTGCCTGTAGATATGATGCCGGGGTGTCATGATCCGGCAAATTTTTCTTTGCCTCAGCAGGTGGGCTATTGACGTGGATACATACTTTTGATTTGTACTAGCAGCACTCAAGTGTGCATTTTGTGCATGCATGGCTAACTCACTTATTGTTTAACTGCAGCCTCTGCACAGATGCCTTTTCTCTGGGGCATCCACCTACAACACTTTTTCGTCATGTTCAAATCCCCATCAATTCGAGCTTAACAGTGTCCAGTGAGTGCCAAGCTCTCATTTGACTAACCTCAATATTTAAGCAGCTTGGAAGTTTTGAGACAAGAAAGTTCTCTATGTAGGTTTCTTGGAACATCTGGCCAGAACATAGATGACCTGTACAAGTACTCTGATGCTAAAGACAAGCTGGAATTCATGGAAAGAACACTGAGATGGCGCCATCTTGCTCCTACTGCTCCAAATAGCCTAGGTAACTTGTTTCCAGCTCAAATTGGCATACCAACTGCTCCAAAATAGTTAGATAACTATTATCATAACCCATTTATTTGTATGTGAATCCGTACATGATTTGGTGATTGATTTTTTTGGTAATTGTATAATCCAAAGCTAGAAAACACTTATTTGGTAATTCTATTCAGGCTGTTATCCATACACAGACAAGGATCCTTTCCTTGTTGAAAGTTGCCCGCACGTCTACTTTGTTGGGAATCAAGATAAATATGAAACTCGACTGTTGGAAGGTAGTACTTCATGTAAAGCTTCATAATATTGCTTGAACATCCAACTTACCCTCCTTGTTATCCAGGGCCAGAAAAACAGAAAGTGAGGCTAATCTCCATCCCAAGGTTCTCTGAGAGTGGAGTTGCTGTAATGGTATACGTTCTTATATGATTGAGTACCAGTAGATCCACTTTTATTATCTTGGTAATCAGAGACAGAGAAGAGAAGAATTCTTGATTCAGGCATTTGTTACTTTTATGATAACGACATAATAAAAATTCAAAGCTAAAAAACATGTCCCACTTTATTCTACAGAACTTTAGACACTAGACAGTGTACACTTGCTTTATTTGATATTTTCCTCAGCACTGATTCTTGTTGGATATAATAAGATCAGTTGGTAACAAAAATATCTCTTTATGCTAATGCAGCTCAATCTGAGGAACTTGGAATGCAGCACGTTGAGTTTCTCTACAAGCTTTGATGCCTGAATATGCTCTGATGTTTGGAAGTGCAAAAGACTTCATGAACCCATAGGGGGTTCATGGAAGGATGTATTTGTATTAGAACAGCCAGAACAGTTCTTTATTAGATGTGATGATGATGACCTTAGGTTTTGCCAATTAGATCTGTTGGAATGCAGTTGTTGTAAGTTGTAACCACAACTGAAACTGAGTCTGGACCGTGTGTAGCGTGTAACAATCAAATTGGTGCGCATGCCTCGTTTTACAATCACAATCAGCTAACACGTTTGTCAGATGTGCTTTTGTAATCATTTCTGTGCGTCTGTAATGGATACGCGGGCCAAATATTTGTAGTAAAAACATCAACATAAGTTTGTTCACCAGGTGGTAGCTGATTGAGCGATCAAACAATGCATAGCTTTAAGGGTGTGTCGAGTTTGGGAAGCTTAGCACCAAACATCTTAATTACTGCAAAATCATGATAACTCTTTTGTACCAAATGGGCATAATTACCAATTATCAAGTGCAGTACGTGAAATAAAATGAAACATTTGGCAGATCGAAATTTGACATCAACACCATGTTCCTAAAAACAGCACTGTAGTATCTTCTGAACTGAAGCAGGGGGGACGGGGGAAATCAGATTACTCAGGTACCGCACATCTTTCAGTGGCAACCACAGTCCACAGCAAACTGACAAAAACAACCGCAGCAACAGATCTCTCTCCTGTCTCCTCCATTCCTCCGCCTCTTCGCCATGGCCGCCATCTCCGCCCACCTCACCGCCAATCTTCCGTCTCTCCCGGCTCTCCGGCCCTGTCCTCGCCGGCTTCAGCCGAGCACCTTCGCAGCATCCGTGGCCCCGCACCGAACCCCCGGCGTTGCCCTCCGTGGCTGCAGGTGCGCTCCCTTCCCTACCTAACCTACCGCACGCCACAGTTTCGTTGCCATTCGCTGGAAGAATTTCTCGCCTTGATTGATTTTAGCTGTTGCAGTCTGCCCTGTTAACCCGATTGCATGATATTCAGTTACCTGGGGACGCAGTTTTCCAGAAAGGCACTAGAAAACAAAACGGGGGCGATTTATAGGTGGTGTTGGCGCTGCTGAAACAATCTGAAATAACGGATTAGATATGCATATGCTCACCCCTTTTGCAAATTTGCTGCTTATGTGATCCCTTTCTTAAGAAAACTGCACTGATATGTTAGTGCTAGGATAGAGTGTTTCTGACACTCACTTTACAAAGGTTTACTATATATGGCTGGGAACTGCTTAGATTATACAGAATGGACAATTCCATACTCCGTGTTGAATTGATGTCAAACAGGAGACATAGCTGGTGTTTAGCTTCTCTAATGCTTCCAGTTTAGATCCCATTGATTGGTCGTAAATGAGCTGAATTTTGATGGGATTTAGTTTCAGTCTGAACTTTAGATCGTCTACAGTACCCTCACTCAAACAGGGGTGTGGATTTGTGACTTTGCAAATATTATTCACATACTAGGAAAGAAGCGTCTTTGTAATTATGATTTGACATTCTCTTTGTTTTTGTGAGTGATGCATGCAGTTTTATGGTTTGTAAAACATCACTATGAGCCTTCGACATTCTAGCAAGGAACTATCTCATTTGATATTGTGAGCTAAGTATGCAGTTTCACTGACACATTCTCTTGTCCCTGCTAGTATGACAGTAGTAAGAGAGTTTGGTACATTTTGATAGGAATCAAGGGCATTACATGTCCATTTTCATGTGCATCAGCACCGCATATATATGCATCTTTGAGTTAGCTATTTGATTCATGATAGGGAAGCTGATTGAGCCATTATGATCATATAAGTTTTATATGTATGGAACAGCGGCGGATCCTGGAAAAATTTTAGGGGGGGCTGAACAAAAGTGCGACAACAACATACCTCCGACTGCTGCTCGATCTTAAGTCTCAGCCCCACCTACACGATAGAACTTTGCCTAAAAATTCGTAGGGGCTCCAGGGCTCCAGTATCGGTAGGGGGGCCTGTATGGAAATGATCATGGAACTTATTCGCTGCAACTTGCATGTTCATATTCAGTAATGGCAAGGAACACCTATTGCATTCTCTTAGGTATCACTGTTGCTATTTTACACTGCAGGCGTTGCAATCCTTTCGTAAGAAGATTTCATGGGTTTCAGAATGCAATAAGCGTTGGGAAGGAGCACAACAAGCAAGCCCTATTTGCTTCAGGCAGAGATTCTCCTAGCTCCGGTGATGATGGCTCGAGTTCTCCAGATGGCCCGCCTGTCCTGACTATTGTGGCAGGTGTCATTGTGTTCCTTCTTGTACTCTGGGTTATTGGGTCGATCGTTACCTGGATTGTGGGTTTGGTCTTTGGCGCAGCGAAATCTTAGATCGTTACCTGACTATTGTAGGCTAGTCATCAGTTGTATATACTTTATCCGTGCTACCGTTCGGTGCTTAAGCCTTGAATAACTGCATTTGCTGCTATTTTCTTAGGGAAAGTCACGGATAATTGCAATTGTGTTTCGTGCTGTTATTACAATTGAGATGAGACTGCTTAGAAAACCTCATACTAGTTGTTGAATATTGGAGCCTGTACAAATGCAAGCGCATCCTGGCCAATTCATTTTTGTTTTCCTGTGTTGCAGAACAACGATGTTTTGCATGCCCTTTTTCTCGCTAGCAGTGTACAAGCACACAATCTGTTTTCGCGTGATTTGTGATTAGAGTACAAATGGTTTGAACTCGTCATGATGCCAATGCATCACTTTACTGTGGGCTGGTATCGCTTTTAGCTTTATCTATAGTACTTCGTACAGCTATAACTGCATTTCGTACATGTCTGGTCCGAGGTGGCTCTGTTTGCCGTTTGTTTGTAGTCTGAGCCTTCTCCCCAAGACCCCAATTCCCTCTGGAGACAACAGCTGAATGTACACCTGTACAAAGTTTGCTGCTGTAAGATCGTTTCTCCACTTCGCTGCACGAATGGGCGCCAAACAGGAGGCAGGCAGTCAACCAAGCTAGCACTCTGCATTGTCTGCAACGTCCCGTTCCTATACAGCTGCCACCCCTGGATGACACGGAAGGCGGTAGCAGAAACCTTCCGTTGAGCTCTGGAGTGGAAGAATAGAGAGAATCTGGTACAGTGCAAACTCCTGGAGTGAGCTTGCTGTCAGCTGTCCCCGTGAGGCCAATAGGTCATGACGAGACCAACGAGTTCCATTGCACTGCTCACCAATCAGGCCACCATCCATTCGTGCCATCGCTGTCGTGTGTCGTCACGACTCACGAGCGGGCGTGATCGTGATCGCTCCTAACGGCCCGAACATCAAGTGCTGGCTGTTGATTTCCGGCCGTTTTAGTCACGGTCACGGGACAAATAAAAACTAGCCCGCCCATCCGGCAGCCCGTCAGTCCGGCCAGCAGGCAGCAGCGCCAGCGCATAGTGGACGGTGGACCAGCGCGCTGCCGACGTCGCGCGGGCGCGGCACGTGAGATCCACACCCCACACCCCACCCGCGCTCCCCAACGGCTATATTCCACCCGTCCACCACCAAAACCCCCGCGTTTAAATCCGCCGCGATCTCCCGCCGCTCTCCTCCCCGCATCCCACCCCCACGACTCGACCCGGCCCTTCCCTCCACGCTCGCCGGCCGACGCACTGCTTGCTCTCATCTCCATCCAGCACCTGTCTCCTGCCACTGCCAGCCATCGATGGCGACGCCACAGCAGAAGCAGCAGGTGTCGGTGCAGCACGTGGGCAGGGCGTCATCGGACGAGCTCCTCCGCAAGTTCGCGGACCCGGACGCGCGCCGCCCCGCCGCCACCCCGCCGCGCCGCAGCCTCGCGCTGCGCCGCAAGCGCTCGTCCCGCCGCGTGGCGTCTGGGCTCTCGGCGCGGGACTCCGACGCGGCGGCGGCGGCCGCGGGCTTCACGGGGGCGGAGCTGTCGGCGCCCAAGCGGCGGCGGAGCATCGGTGATGGGTCCGCCGACTGGAGGGCCGGCCTGCTCCTTCCGACCTCCACGCCCGCCGCCTCCGCAAGGAAGGCCCAGGCACGCCGCGTGCGCGCCGACGACGCCGCGGGCATCGGCCTCCTCCTCGCCGCGCTGGAGCGGGTGTGTGTTTCAGATTTCTCCTTTCTCTGTGTTTTTCCTCTTTGCATTGGGCATTGGCTGATTCTGGATTGCTTTGCCGTGCGTTCGCAGACGTGGAGGAAGACGGTGGCGGGGGCGTCGAAGATGTTCGTGGAGAGGCACCGGACCAACCACGTCCTGCTCATCAGCGACATGGTCTGAGCACACAGACCCGGCCACGCATGCAAGCCGGCTGGCACTTCCTCTCTCGTCGAGCTCTCTGCTTGGATTGATTGCTGAAAAGTTTAATTCGTTGGATTGACCGTTCGTTTAAGAATTATATTAGGTAGCAGAATAAATTGGCAGAGAACAATGTGGGCTCAACTTTGCTAGCTTTGTGCAGTGCTGGTTCTTCATTCCCTGCCACTTGCCAGTGTGATTTTCCTTGTGTTAGTTTCTGATTTTTTCTGTGATGACGAGTCATCGTGTCTGTGACCACGTTGTAAATTGAAGTTTGCAAACTATGTTACCAGTGTTGTGTTGTGCTAAGAAATGGATCTACACACCTCTTACATACACCATTCAGTGTACTGTTTAATATTTTACTTCTCTTATTATTGAGAACACCCTGGTCAGTCAGTAATGGGCCTTGCTAATTATTGGGCTCGGATCTTATACCAAATAATGGGCCTCGTGGGCTCAGTCCACATATTGTGTTCTTACATTTCGGCCTTGTTCTGGAGTTACCCAGGTTGACTAGTGCAGTATGAAGCTTTGTTTATCTTCAACTCTTGATAGTTGATACCCAAATTGATACCTGAGGATGAACAGCAAACACACTGCCCGGAAAACTCATGCAGTGACGCGATCCTTGCGTCCACAGTGCAAAAGGAACCCACTAGAGATGCAAAGATATTGTAGTTTCAATCTCCGACGGCATAACGTCATTGCTTTTGCTTTGCAGCTTCAGATTGTGCGTCAGAAAGGCACTTTAGGTTCTTTATTGAGCCTGTTCGCTGGTTGTTTTTGGGTTCATAAGCCCGGCTGGTGCTGATTTGTTATGAGAGAAAAGCATTGTTGGCTGACTGATAAACCCTGGCTGATACCAACAAGCGAACATGCTGATTATCACTTGTGCCTTATCTTTTTCCAGAACACGGAGCAGGATCATCCTCCTCATCCGCCTTTTAATCCGTCTCTGCGAGGTGCGAGCGCTTACTTTTTGTCTTCTCTAGCATCTTCGCACGAGCTTTCACTAGCTGATTTAACACGACTAGTTCCGAAAGGCCGAGGCAGATTATGTTCATTGTTCAGCAAAGAGCTAGCAAACCCCCTTCACTAAGCAAAACATGCATGGCTCATCAGTTCTACAGCCAACCATTTATTCTGAGCACAGACTCAAAGTCGTCTTTCCCTGGGTGTGGTGTGGGGTCTCTCTCTTTACATTGGCCGCATTGATCCATCGGTGAACCTGACTTGTGGATTGGTAAGGATCGTGGCACCTGGAATAAAAATCTGAGTCGCCACCTAAAGCAAAGCAAGAAACGAAGTCGGACACGTCGGTTCGTCCCTATGGCTACACTAATCCACACATGACAAGATTATTATAGAATACAGATACCACTTATAATAAGTAGCTTTCGCCAAAGTTACATGCAGTTGGCGCACTCGATCGTCCGAACAGGACCGGACGATCCTGGTGGTAGTCCGAGAAAAATCATTGCTTCCTTCCTGCCGGCTGGCCATTGGGACACGGGGTTCCACACCGAAAGAGCCACCCGATTTGGCGTTTCACCACCGGACGGCGCACTGGCCATGCTACAATGCAAGTATGTCGGATCGCGGAAGGCGGCTGGTCACGTTGCGCGAGCGTGAGGCGGCACCACCGGACTGACAGCGCGGGCCGGCCGCCGGAGATAGACGCCTCGCCGCTCTCTCGCAGCTTTGACGTCGCGTCGGGCGAAGCTGAGCCTTGCCTATCCTCCCCAGTCCCCACCCAACCCACCGGACGTCCCGTCTTTGGGCGGGCCGGTCGACGTCTCCTGATCCGCGATCCCTCCCCTCGGCTTCTGCAAGCAAAGCAAGGCTGGCCGACGCTTTGCAGCGGTTACTAGAGACCCTGGCCGGTGGAGTCAACCGGAATGATTCCTGGACACGTGACGTGACGCACATCAGCACCCCACCCCTTCGATGCCATCCATGCATCCGCACCGATGCTCCGTGGCTCCTCTGCACGGCGCCGCAGCGTGGACGACCATGCCATGCCCACGAGTTCGCGAATCACAGATCCATCGCCGCAGCATGGACGGCTGATATAACGGTATTGAGGGGCTGGGTGTTATCCGGAAGTCGATGTACAGTTGTACACCACTCGCATCACGCATAGAATTATTTTTTTGATTCCTGGTGCTTTCTCCTCCATGGAGGGTCAGCTTATTTTCACCCTGCTCGCTAGAGTTTATTCAGCACTTCTTTTCAGCCATCAAACAGTGTTTTACTCTCACAACAGTTTAGTATAAGTATCAGCGTAAGCCAAATTTCAGCATAAGTTGATGTACAGTTGTACACCACTCGCATCATACGTACGGCCGGACTCTTGGTTAAAGTTTAGATTCTACGGAACATCTATTCTGTGTTCTTGCCGAACGGAGAGTTTATTATAATCTTGTTAGGTGTTTATTACCGGGTCGAAATCATGAGTGTGATGCCTTCGTGTATGGACAAGTCCTAGCCATGCATATACTAAGCTGACGAAACAAGTGTCACATTCACGATTGAATTTTGCAGCACCAAGTCATTGTTGGTCGTACATACCGAGAACCCGAGCGAGAGCAGTCTGGCATGATTCCACTGGCGGGTACTGGAGACACGCTATTCGATCGATCGAGAACGATCTCTTCTGGATAAGTACCTGTTTGGAGCTTTGTACAGCAAAAGATTTGATCCAGCACCTCCCCAACTAAAACAAATTGCAGAAAACATACACAGACAATTACTAGTATATACTAGCACATATGTCTCTGTGTTATAACAGAACGTACACCCTTGTTGCATGGTCACTTGACGTCTTGTGGTCGAAGATTTATATAATAGTCACATCATTTGTTCCAATATGTCTTAAAATCATAACCCATTACGTCATTGCACACTCAAATGAGCGCAGTTGTGTAACTCTTATGAGTGCGGTTGTGAGTCTAGATCAAATACACATCAAAAGATTGGCGAAGACACTTTGAAAATATACGGAATAATCAGTTCGCTTTTTATATTAGAATATGGTATGAATAGAATATATAGATATAGACGGAGGATTAGC